GGTGCTTCCTCCTGGTCTCCCATATGGGTGCAGGGGCCCAAGCACTTGGGGCATCCTCCACTGCTTTCCCAGGCCACAGCAGAGAGCTGGGTAGGAAGAGGAACGGCCAGGACTAGAACTGGTGTCCTTATGGGATGCTGGTGCCACAGGCAGAGGATTAACCTGTGCCACAGCACCAGCCCCTTCCTTTCTTAAAAGATTTATTGGGGCCGACCCTATGGCATAGCGGGTAAAGCTGCTGCCTGCATTGTCGGCATCCCATATGGGCACCAGTTTGAGTCCCAGCTGCTCCAGTTCCAATCCAGCTCTCTATGGCCTGGGAAAGCAGTAGAAGATGGCCCAAGTCCTTGGGCCCCTGCACCCATGTGGGAGACCAGGAGGAAGCTCCTGGCTTCGCAGATCAGCACAGCTCTGGCCGTTGTGGCCATCTGGGGAGTGAACCAGTGTGGCATCACATCGTCCAAGACCATGCCGGTCTTCCTCAACCTCATCTTCTGGGGTGCGGCTGGCATCTTGTGCTACGTGGGAGCCTACGTCTTCATCACCTACGACCACTACGACCGCTTCTTTGAGGATGTGTTCACGCTCATTCCCGCCGTGGGGATCATAGCAGCAGGAGCCCTGCTTTTCGTCATTGGGCTCCTCGGGAGTCACTGCGGACTCACGTTTGTCATCACCCTGCTCTTGGTTTTTGTCACAGGAGCTGTGGAGCGGTTTTGTGATACGTTTACAGAGCAAAGGTGGAAAATGAGGTTGAGCATTCAGAAGGTGTACAAGACCTACAACGGCACCAACGCCGACACTGCTAGCCGGGCTATCGATTACGTCCAGGGACAGCTGCACCGCAGTGGAATTCACAACTACTCAGACTGGGAAAATACAGACTGGTTCAAAGAAAGCAAAAGCCAGCGGGTGGCCAGTGGCTGTCTCGGCAGCCTGGCCCCGCCCACCCTGGTGGTGAAGCAGCTGCAGGTGACGCACGTTGCCCGCGCGGCGCTGGCGTTGGCAGCTATTTCCCTGTTGGGCGTGCTTCTCCGCCCTGGCGGCACCTACGCATAGTGGACAGCTCGGCCTGGGAGGGGCGGCCGTGGTGATCGGAGGGGATTGCGCTGGTCAGCTGGTGGAGACGTGCCCTGGTGTGGGACGGGGCGCTCGGCTTGGCACGGACCCACCTCCACCCGCTCTCAGTCTCCCCTTGTTCTAGCTGACTCTCCACGCCCGTTTTAAGCACGGTGGTGAATGTTCTAATTTCAGAACTGTTTGCAGGTCACATAGTACAGCAGAATTAGAGCGTGGGCCTGCTTCTGTAGCCTCTGAGCCGTGGTGGGGCAGGTGCTGAGGCATCGTTGGGGCCTTTTGTTCCACAGTGGAGAAGGCTTGGCCGAAGCTTTTGGGGGTGAGGAGAGGAAGCCAGCTGTCAGGTTAAAATTCACACCGGTCAGTGCCCCTCACTGGTGTCCTTTTAAAAACATTTTGTGTAGTCCAGCAGAACAGCAGCTGTACCAAATGGCGAACGTAGGTGTTAGGGTCATACAGTGTGGACCTTGGTTCACCGCCAGCATCAGAGACTGACCTTTGAGAGCAGTGGTTCCCATCAGTGCTGGCCTGGCGGGGCCTGGTGTGCACCGCTGTGCCCAGGGACTAGCGGGACGCAAGCCCACGCGTCACCTAACTCGCTAGAGAGAACACGCCCGTGTAGGCCAGCAGGGTAGGACGGGACATGTGTTCCGCTTGTACATAGGAAACTCAACTCAAACTCCCTATCAGCCCTCAAATGAAAAAGTGGTGGAATGAGAAGGCCATGCCAAGATGGCCACTGGCCGCGGGCTGCTTGCCTCAGGCCCGTCTTCACCCGACTCCTGGGGTCTGTGTGGTGGCTCCGCGCCTCTTGCCCCCACCACGCTCCTCCTCACAGAAACGAATCCACTGCAACGAACCAGTAGATGAAGACTCTCTGCCTAACTCTGCCTTTCAAAAAAATAAAAAAATAACAACCCACTATCTTCTAAAATACTTGAAAAGCAGAGATAATACAGAGGTGAGACAGAGATGTATCTTCCACCTGCTGGTTCACTCTCCAAATGGCTGCCAACAGCCAGGGCTGGGCCAGGCCTAAGCCAGGAGCATCTTGAGGGTCCCCCGCGTGGGTGCAGGGGCCCAAGGACTTGGACCATCCTCTGCTGCTTCCCCAGGCGCATTAGCAGGGAGCTGGATTGGAAGTGGAGCAGCCAGGACTCCAACCAGTGTTCACAGGGGATGCTGGTGCTGCAGGCTGAGGCGTAACCCTTTACACCACAGCACCAGCCCCTGGTGCTCCTTTGACACGCCCAGCCCAGCCTGTCACGTTGCTGTGCCAGAGGAGCCTAAGCGCAAATCACAAAGATGTCAGCTGTCATTTTTCAGACACTTTAAAATTTCATTTGAAAGACAGATCTGTCCACTTGCTGACTCACTGCCCAAATGAACACAACAGCCTGGTCTGGACTAGGCTGAAGCCAGGAGCCAGGAACTCAATACAGGTTCCCCATGTGGGTGGCAGGGACCCAGCCACTTAAACTGCCTGTCAGGTTGCACACCAGCAGGAAGCTGGCATCACAGATGGAGTGGCCAGGGCAGGGGTGGGTGGCAGAGCAAACCAGCAGGTGGAAGATCGCTAACTCCAGTTAGTAGTGGAGCTGGGATTTGTACCTGTGGACGAGGTGTGACATGGGAGGTGTGTGAGCCAAGTCATGTCTTAACCACTGTGCCAGATGCCCGCCCCTCACAACCTCCTATTAGCCACGTGGCATGACTCTGCCAATGACACCGCTGTCCTGGGCCCTCCAAGGAGGTAAGGAAAAACCCTGCGAGAGGGCAACCTTGTATCATCTTATTTATACCCTATGAAATCTTACCAAGATGTACACTTGTTTCCTGGTAGAAAAAACAGGTGCTTTTTGTCGTCAGGACAGCGGGCTGTGCAGAACTTCACTCTGGAGAGATGTGGAGACGGCTCCAGGCAGGAGGGGCAGCCCAGAGCCTCAGGGTAGCAGCTGATCATGGGTGAACTGTTACCCAAGTTAGATAACCATTTTTTAAGTCATAATGGTGGCTTTTTGAAGTAAAATAATAAAGATTAATCACCACCACCAGCACTTATTTGAAAGAAATTTGCAGGATAAGAATTCTTACCCCACTGAATGGCAAGGGTTTGTAGAAAACACGTGTGCTGGGTTGTGGCTCAAAAGGCTAATGCTGGAAGCTATTAATGGCTTATTAAGGGCAACTCTGAGGGGAAAAGAGACCTGGAACAAACAGTGCGGTTCATCTTGAGGCTCAGTAATGAGGCGGTCTTGGAAAACAAACCTACTTCACACAGCGCCCTTGTGCTGGGACTGATTCCGGTCTGACGACAGCAAAATGAGGCCGGCTGATGGAAGGGGCAACACTTCACATGCTTGAACTTGACCTCCCAGTGACAAACGTGTTTGCAAATACGACCAATCTAGATTGTAATCTGTGCTGATTCAGGAGGACTATCTGGACGCAGACTGCATCTCTGAACGTCTAGAATTGTCCTGGAGAGTCCTGCCACACCCAGGATGGTGGCAGGAACCACGGACGGCGGCGCAGCCTCCACCACTGGGAAACCGCAGCCCCAGGAGCCACCTCACAGCCGCAGCGTTACCACTGCAAGTATTCGAGGTCAGTGGTACAGCTCAGTATCTAGGGCCAGCAAGTAAACACTCCGCCTGCGACACCGCTTCTCCTCCTGGCTGCTCCCTACCCGACCCACCTCCCTGTGAATGTGCCTGGGAGAGCAGCGGAGGATGGCCCAGGTCCTTGGGCCCCTGCTCCCATGTGAGGGACCCAGATGAAGCCCCTGGCTTTGGCCCAGTTGTACCATTTGGGAAGATGGAAGATCTCTCTGCATCTACCTCTTAAGAAAGAACTCTTTTTTAAAGGCAAACCTCTTCCAAAGAGGTATAAGCAAAACAAAAAGTTCAACATCTAGCTGTCAATGTATCACTATAATGGGTGACAGACACTGTCCCTTACCTTTCTTCTTTTACAGATTTATTTGAAAGGCAGAATGACAGATCTTTTATCTGCTGGTTCATTCCACAAATGCCTGTAACAGCCATGGCTGGGCCAGGCCAAAGGCAGGAGCCAAGCCCAGTACCCAGGTGTCTTACCTGGGTGGCAGGGACGCAAGCACTCGGGGCATCCCTCTGCTGCCTTCCAGGGTGCATGAGCAGGAAGGTGGATGTCCCTGGGGGGGACTTAACCTGTTGTGCCACAACACTCTGCCCCGGTACATACTCTCTGATCTACTACAAAATTCAACGTGCTTACAAGGATGGAGGAGAACAGTGCGGACAGCCAGGGACATGACAATGTCTCAACAACCCTGAAGGGGGGAATGGGCCCCCAGGGAGCTGGCTCTCTCCACAGGCTGGACCGACTGAGTGCATGGAGCCAAACGCGGCAGAACACCTTCAGCTGCCGAGGCCTTGCCAGGAGCACTGGGAGCTGTCCCCTTGGAGGCCAATCCGCTCTCACTGAAAGGGCACCAACTCCACTACCCGTCAGACCTGTACAACTCGGGGGAACCAAAGACTGCAGCACTCTTGAAAGGCGGTTTTAGTTAAACTCAGACACACATGTCCTTCCTTTAGTTCCTCAGATATTTTAGAATTATAATCGATACCCACCGACCACTATTCAAGTCACTAACATGTAGATAAATCTTCAATGCAGAAACTTAGTTTCGATAATGCTAATTACATACACAGTCTTTAATTTGTTGAATGAGAACAACAACAAACAGAACTGCTCTCTCTTCTGCAGATGCTGCCCCCTACAGAAGTGTGACAACCAGCCTGATGTGGCCGGGACCTGATCCGACCCTTGGCAGGTGTGCATGTATTTCCTTTGGTGCCTTGACGCTGTAACAGAAACAGTGGGAATGCCCACCGCAAGCAGCTCTGGTGACATTCACTAAACAAGCTACAGTCTAATGGTGGTGGTGATTGTTTGATTTCATTTTATTATTTTTTTTTACAATAGGGTATAGCCTTTATACTCCACACAAACAAAACAAGAAGTGCTTATTAAGAAATAGCCCCTGCCCCCACCCCCCTCAGAACATCCTGAACATAGCAATTCAATAGAACAGAAAAATCAAGACAAGTTTGATTTCAAATTTTCAATAAAAAAGCAAAAGTATGTAATGCAACAGCTGTTCAACTTTCAACTCTAAATAGGCACCATTAAACAAACCAACCCAGTATTTGAAATTTCTCCAGCACACATTCCAGTACAGATGCTAGGAACTAATGATGGGACTAGAACCTTACGACAGAAGCTGCATGGCTTTCCGCCCCTCTTTCGTCTATAGGTGGAGGGTGGAGGTGTTAGGGGAATACAAAAGTCAGAGGAAGAAAAATCAAAGAATTCCCAAAGCTGCTGCTGTTTGGACTAGAAAGGAAGACAGCATATTACAAGTGTTCAAAGATCCCCAAGGCAAGTAAACAATTCATTCACTAGCACTTCTACTTGAAAGAAGAGAGAGCAATGTCTTATAAAAAAAAATACTTTTAGAATTGTATCACGGGGTCACCAGAAACTATGGATGTAGTTTTAGGCTCCGTCTCTAGCCTAGCTGGATGGGTGCCTGGCTCTGTGCCCTGTGCGACCCTAAGCACAGCGAATCAGAGCTCCCCTGCTTCGAGCTCTCCAGAGCTGCTCCTGTCGTCTGCTCTGCCATTGGCACTCTCACAGGGCCTCTTCTTACCCTTTCCATCTCTGTCACGAGGTGATCTGTCTCTGTCACGGGATGCTAAGTCTTGGTCTCTGAATCTTTCTTTTGAGGATCTGAAAAATATTAATTTGAGGAGCAAAATATGTTGGGAAACCTAAAATCCAAATGAAAGAATAGGATAAATATTAAGTTACTGACAGCTGAATACACCTGAGACAAGTCAGTTTTCTGACAAGAAGATGGGTGATAACAGCTAAGGGTCAAAACACACCAGCTGAAGTGACGACTTCGAGGGGTTTCACCATCTCAGATGACCACAGGTTTCTCTAATCCACAGAACAGGGAGTATAAAAATAATATATAGATCAATAGCTTTGAAAAGGGAAAGGCAGGATCAGATTTCTAAAAAATATCTAATGAAAGGTACCAAAGTAAATAGAAATTAGTGACTCAGTATAGGGGTCAACCAACTTCTCTTTGCTGTCCAGCCAGATGATAAACACCGGAGGTGTTGCAGGTCACAGCCTCTGTGGTCTCGTCTTTTATTCTTTTTCCTCTTCTCTTTGTCAACCCTTTAACAGTGTCAAAACCATCCATAGCTTGCTGGCTGTACAAAACCAGGCTATAGGCCTGACACGGCCTACAGGCAACAGTTTGCCAAACCTGACTTAGATCACAGGATTACTCAATAACCATTTATTTTTAAAGTCTGCTTTATTCCTCCTTAGTTAACTCATTCAACCAAAAGAAAAGTAATGAAAGAAAGATGATCACACTATATAATAAATCTTTAACCATAAATGGTTCTTAATACTATCTTCTCCATTCCCGTACCCACAAACAACAAAAAAGTTCATGTGATTCAATCAGAAGGAAGCAGGAGATTATGGGATTAGAATAAATATGGAAACCTCTATGCATCTAACATAGAACAAATCAGTAACACATATTCCATTTATTTGGTTCTTTACAGGTGACACAGCATTTTATACAATCATCCCACGCAACCCACGTTCAGAATCAGGATGTGAGGCACTGCCAAGATGAGATGGGGCTACTTCAAAAAGTTCATAGAAAAATAAGATTTTGATGCAAAGATTTTGGAAATCCATACATAGTTTTTCCATCATATATTTACATTTTTGAGTTTTGTGAATCCCCCCCCCACACCCGTGCATGGATTTCAAAATGTCTTTTGGCACCAATGTTTTAATTCCATTTTCTAAGAACTTCTTGAAGTCATGTCATATTTTCAGGAAAATACTGTACTCAGTTTTAGAAATATAGTTGAGGGTTAGAAAAAAAAAAAGGTTGAAAGACTAATGTCAACTTTGAGCATTCTACTTAAGGTTTTGATAAGCTCAGTTAAAAAACGGGGGGACCACACAGCGCAAGTCTACACCAGCCCTACCCACAGCCTTTGTAGTAGAGGAATAACGAGATGACAGAACAATAGACACTGGACGGCTGCCAAGTCCCAGAGGGCAGTGACAGCCGAAATACAGCTGAGATGAGTTTCATCTGAAGTTCTGTGACTGCACTGTCCCACACACGAGCAGTCTCCATCATCACAATAAAGCACTACTCCTACCATCTGCCGAGCAGATGGAGACAACAGGTGGGATAATGAAGTCACGTGACCAAGATCACTGCTGTGACGTCCATGCTATACACACCTGAGTAAGAAGCTGACATCACTCTTACCCCTCATTTTTCACCCAGGGCAACTGCTGCCACCAGGGACAAGTCATAAAGACATTCCACTTACAGAGACCAATGTCACAGGAGGGGGCAGGAAAATTGGAAATTTTATCTTGAAAAATTAAATATATAGCAATTACTTGATGTCATCTTATATGTAATAACATGCAGATTTTATCAAAAATTAGCAGGTAACTGCTGTTAAAAACAAAGAATGAAGTTTTAGAACAGAATGTGAATTCAAAAACGAGAAGTGCTCTTGAGAAAAGCAAAACAGTTTTTGTAGAAATAAGCCTCTTTATGAACATGCTGAAAATCTCAGCTGTCAAAGATGCCACGTAGTATGGTGGGCAAGTCTTCCTGTACGACTTCATAAATGCGTGAAGCATCAGGACTAGGACCTCAGCCCCACCAGCAGGCACAGTGACAGCACAACCACAAGCAGCATGATTCTGGGGTTTGCGTGTGCACGCAAGACTCACTGAGAACTTTGAAAAGTGCCTCTTTCTGGACACTGCACTGAAGGTGGCCCAAAACCTCATCTCAAAAGTGTGAGAAAGGGGTCCTACAGATAAAACCATGCCCCTTCCAGATTCCGGGTGTGCATTCTCTGCATTTGCCTTATGCCACTTTTGATTCTACCTGTGTAGATCATACCCACTTCATTCAAATTTTATCTTCTACCTGAAGCCATTTTTGATGACTCTGGCATTTCCATCATCTGAAGTCTTAGGTAATTTATAACACAGTTTTAGCACTTTATAACAAAGTCTTACACCACTCTAATTGTTCTCAAAAATGCCAGGCCTATATTCCAACTCACATGGTACAACTTCAGTAAGGTTGCTCCACTCTTATATCTGTTATTTTTCACTAAGCCTTCATGAGTAGAAGTATGCAATGTGCAGTGATTAAAGTCACCTTGGGAAGTACCTGGGACAAGGCCGGCATACAAGAAATAAAATACTGATCGAGTGCCTATTAAACAACTCAGCTTCTGAGTGGTTTTCAAGGAATGGTTACTTGAGAGCTGGGTGGTAGGCAGGGAAGGAAAGATTTTAATAGCTTTCTGTGGATTCTATTTTGTACTTTACATGGAGTAATCCATAAGACTAGTACATACTAGGCACTCAAGAGAAATGTTTATCATATATATGCTCAACAATAACTATCAAGAAAAACAGCAATTCTAAGTACTGTTTATATTCTGTAGAAATTACTGGTGTTCAGGGCCTTAATGTGAGCTAAGGTTTTGGAAGGCAGGGCTACAGACTTGGAGTGCTGAACTCCTCTCCCACATGCTAGGCCTGTGCCATTCCCAGTAGACACTCGGGTCCGTAAACACACCTTACCCGTGTCTTCACCCCTCGAACCTTCTGAGTTTTTTTGTTATACCAAGGAAGATCTGTAGGATTCTGAATCTGCCCAGCAAGTCAAAGTTACAAAATAATGCATACTTATAGCACAGACTTAAGAATATACTAGAATGCGTCTGGTCTGAAAAAGTGAACCAGCTGAAATACATTTGGAGAACAGTAAGTCAAACAAAGCTAAACTCTTGTAATGAAAGGATTTGTCAGAGCCAAGAATTTGTTAATACACAACTGAAAAAAAAACTCCAAGAAAATCTGAAATCACTTGCCCATAAAATACTTTTTTCCAAGACACACTAAGCAGAGAAGAGTAATAATCTCTGCACACATCAACTCCAATTTCTCATTCTGGCTCATAAGTATATTCTTTCTGAACTGCCCATATGATCGGGGAGAAAATGTTATACACCAACACACAAATGTGTACATATTACCAGATGCAAGTTTCAAACCAATAATCTAAACTCGTAACATAAGTAAACATAAACAACGCTAAAACATAAAGGTAGCTCCATATCCTCTGATCGCCACGTCAATACCTCCTCTTAGATCGTTCTCTGCTCCTATCTCTAGAACTGTGCCGACTTCTCTGGTGGCTGCGGCTGCGGCTACGGCTGCTGGAACGGGACCGGTGGCGATGGCGCTTCTCCCGAGACTTGGAGCGAGTCCTCCTCTTGCGTTCTCGTGACATGGAGCGAGACCGATGCCTGCGATGCTCTCTGGACCTGGATCTGTAAGAGATCAGATTCCACATTCAGCTTCCTCAGCACTACAATTCTCCCCGATTTTTTGTTTTTAAAGATTTATTTATTCATGTGAAAGGCAGAGTTACAGACAGAGAGAGGGGTCTTCCACCCACTGGTTCACTCCACAGATGGCCGTATCTGCCAGAACTGCACCGATCCAGAGCCAGGAGCTTCTTCCCGGTCTCCCACACAGGTGCAGAGACCCAACTCTACTGCTTTCCCAAACCATAGTTGAGAGCAGGATTGGAAGTGGAGCAGCTGGGACTTGAACTAGTGCCCATATGGGATGCCAGCACTGCAGGCTGTGCCTTTTACCCACCACACCACAGAGCCCACCCCACCCCTGTTCTTACAGGATAAACTATGCTTCAGTACCCTTACTTAATGTTAATTCTATTCCAAGTCAGCAAAAGATACAATAAACTGCAGGTATGTTAATAATTACATACAATTTCAAAATAAAAATTAAAAACACTAATTCTTGATGGTCAATCCATATTTTAAAAAAATGCACTGCCACCATATACAAGTGATTGTGTTATCTAGAGGCTTTATTAATTTCACTTTAAGCCTCTGCCTATGGCACCAGTGTCCTATATGGGTCCTGGCTGGTCCACTTTCCATCCAGCTCCTTGCTGATGGCCTGGGAAAGCAATAGAAGATGGCCAAAATGTTCAGGCCCCTGCATCCGTATGGGAGACCTGAAGAAGCTCCTGGCTTTGGATCGGCCAAGCTCTGAAAACTAAGAAGTATTTTTAATGTACACAGGAACTTCTGTAGTGTTGACTAGATCACAAACTGACTTGTGTGCTATGCAGTGTACGTGGTAAGAAAGGCATGGATACAATGGTATGCGAATGAGCTTAGAAATGTTGCTTTAAGAGTGATGACAATGTTCAGAGCTCAACTGTGGTGAGCTTACACAACTCTACAGTTACTAAACATTACTGACTTGCACACTTAAGATGGGTAGACATGGTATATAAATTACACTTCAGTAAAGCAACTGCATTTTTAAAAAGTCATTGTGAGGAATATGTTTTCTCATAATTTGTTATAGTAAGTACAAAGCACACTTTCAGGTGACAGAGTTTATAAACTGAGCTTATTTTCAAATGACTGTTATAAATGAAATTTAAAAGGTTTCAGATTATGTCAACATTATAGTCGAATAAAGGCTCATGAGGATTTAGGTCAAGCATAGCAGAATGAAATATTTCCACAATAAATAGTCTATTTTCAGAAAGGAAGTGAGGCAAAGAAATCCAAGTCACTTGGGGTGGGTAAGCCATATGTGGGGATGCCCACGTCCCACACCTGCAGTGATTCCATTTCTGATTGATTCTAGCTTGCTGCTAACCAGCACGCGAGAGGCAGCAAGTGACAGATGATCTCTGCCACTCACATGGGAGACACGGACAGAGTTCCTAGCTCTCAGCTTTCACCTGGCTCAACCTTGACCACTGGGGACATTTGGAAGTAAGCCAGATAGCAGCTCTGTGACCCTTTGCCTCTTAAAAAAAAAAAAATTTGTAGGCGGCGCTGCGGCTCACCGGGTTCTAGTCCTGGTCGGGGCACCGGATTCTGTCCCGGTTGCCCCTCTTCCAGGCCAGCTCTCTGCTGTGGCCCGGGAGTGCAGTGGAGGATGGCCCAAGTGCTTGGGCCCTGCACCCCATGGGAGACCAGGAGAAGTACCTGGCTCCTGCCATAGGATCAGCGCGGTGCTCTGGCTGCAGCGCACTGGCCGCGGCGGCCATTGGAGGGTGAACCAACGGCAAAGGAAGACCTTTCTCTCTGTCTCTCTCACTGTCCACCCTGCCTGTCCAAAAAAAAAAAAAAAAAAAAAAAAGTAAAAATTAACCTTACTTAATACAAGTTTTACTGATGGTACTTTTTTAAAAAAAGAAAAAAATATTTGAAATGCAGAGCAAAACAGAAATGGTGAGACAGAGATCTTCTGTTCGTTTAGTTCACTCTTCAAATGGCCACAACAGCCAGGTCTCAGCCAGGAATTCCAGCCTGGTTTCCCACATGGGTGGCAGGGCCATCACCTACTGCCTTCGCAGGTGCATTAGCAGGAAGCTGGCTAGGAAGCAGCGACGGGAACCAGCAGTCTGCTACAGGATATGGGTGTGACAGCAGCTTAACCCACTGCAGTGCAACGGCACCTCTACTGACTCAGTCTGAGCCAGTGATTATGAATTTGTTTTTCTCAATGCATAACTTCTTAAAAATTCTAGACAAACATTCATTCAAAAAATCTTTACTGGGTGCTCACTGCTCTGTTCAGGGTGCTAGGGAGATTAAGCATCAAATGAAAACAGGTACCTCATAAAGCTTACATTTTAGGAGGAAGTCAGATAGCTCTGCACACAGGAAAGATATACTAGAGAGTAAAGACATGATTCATTCAGCTGTGGAAAGACGGATGGATGGAGAGTGAGGTAACCAGGGTGTACACAGAACAGCCAAGGGAGGCTTTCCAATAGAATGGCACTTGGGCAAAGACTCAAAGAAGTAAGAGAGCACTGACTCGGTCACCTCGGACGAGAGCACTCTTGGCAGAGACAAGGCCCTGAGGTGCAGAAACAGAGCATGCTGAAGAAACACAGGCCAGTTTGGCCGGAATGAAGGGAGCCAAGAGGTGGAACACCCAACACTTTATAGAATCTGAGTGAGTCTCCTGGTCTGAGCGATGCAGTGAAAGAGGGAGCTATTAACAAGCACTGAGATAAAGCAGGCCCTCTGGAGCAGCTAGGTCAGTGCTTGGGATTCCTGTGCCATATAGTGGAAGTGCTTGGCACTGAGGCAGCTCTGACCACGACGAGACTCCTGTCGGCGCACACTCTGGGAGCCAGAGTTTATGCTTCCCGTAGCTGGATCCCTGACCTGTACTGAGTTCCCAGCTGCTGGCGTTAGCAAGGCACACCCACCTATTGCAGACATTCGGGGAGTAAACCAGAAAGCAGATTTCTCCCACATGCCTTTCAAATAAAGATCATAAAAATATTTTCTGAAAACAACAAATATAAACCAGAACTATCCCAGGGACAATCAGGTTATATGGTCACTCTCCTTAAAAGCTGTGCTAAGAATTTAGACTGCACTCTAGGAATGAGATGGACAACCTTTAGCGAGTTTGAACACAGGATTCACACAATGTATTCACTTTTTAGAGAGCTTATTCTGGCTGGTTGGTGACAAACAAGCAGAGAAAGAGAATAGGCAATTATAGAAATAAGCAGATCATTTTAAGAGGACACCAAAATATCAAAGTAAGAGATGACTTGGATGAGAGTGGTAGAAATTAAATTTCTAGGCAAAATATGTAAAGGTATCCTATGCATAAATACTTTAAACAGGATTTGTGATACAGCAGGATTAAAGCCCTAGCCTACAGCACCAGAATCCCATATGGGCACCAGTTCGAGTCCCAGCTGCTCCACTTCTGATCTAGCTCCCTGCAAATGTGCCTGGGAAATCAGTAGAGGGTGGTCTACACCCAAATGGAAGACCCAGAAGAAGTTCCTGGCTCCTAGCTTTGGAGCAGCTCAGCTCTGGCTACTGCGGCCATTTGAGGAGTGAACCAACAGACAGAAGATCTCTGTCTCTCTGTAGCTCTTTCAAATAAATAAATCTTTAAAAAATTTTTTTTCAACAAAAACACCAGATTATATTAACCAACCAATAAACAAATTATTCAATGTAGAAATTTCTCATCTTGGGTATTAGAAACCCAAAAATTAGCTTGATACAACTGGTCACCATTATTCATGCCTTTTAGTTTCTTATTGTTTATGCAAAAGTACCACTGAAAGATGCTAAAAACTACTAAGGGACAACTCACAGAAACATAGTTTTTCTTTCATAACAAATGCTCTACTTTTCAGGGGAAAGTTTTTGGAAAATAGTTACTTTCTAGAGTTTATACCAAAGGTTTCAAAAATACATGATTTGAACAAGAGGAATGGTAGGATATGAAAAAGAATCAGAAAGGGCATTCTTAGCTGGAATCGACCCATGAAGAAAGGCAATGGTAGGAAGAAGATTGGCAAGTGAAGAACTCAGAAAGATTTACATAGAGCAGGTTTTCTACCTTTCTCAGACAGAGACGCCAAATATTCATGCTGATAAACTTTCTGTGTTCATCATGCAGAGGAATCAGTAATAAACTCATAAAATCAAGACTAGTGCACATAGTAAACATTTCTGCTTCTCTTCACCTAACATGGAGATCTCATTCAAATAAATAAATAGTAAATAGCAAGTCTACTTATATCTTCAACAGGTACAGTCCCTTTTACTCGGGTCCCTGCCACCGATGTGGGAGACCTGGATGGAGTTTCTGGTTCCTAGCTTTAAGCTGTGCCAGCCCTGCCTGTTGCAGCCATTTGGGCAGTGAATCAGAAGACAGAAAATCTCACACTCTCATGCTCTACCTTTCAAATAAATAAATATTTTATAAACCTGTAACCTATTACTCTGAAATTCTAGAAAATTTGAAATATTTCAAAATATTTTAGCTTTATCCTATGACTCAAACAAAAGACTTTTACTTTGACAAAACTAAATTATAGCTTGTCTATAACTTAAGTGTCTTTTGACTAGTTTCTGTTCAAGTGACAATGCTCAAAATTGAACTATAAAATAACAGAGCACTAATTTATTTAACATATCAAAACTACCTTTGAAGAACACAAATTTACTACAGTTATAGCCATCTTGTATAATACTCACCTTTTAGGATTCTTGCTGTGTGATCGGGACCTAAAAAATAAAGAAACAAATGTATTTTTAGAAAAGTAGCCATTATTAAGAATACAGTGCAAGTACTCTTTTTTTTTTTTTTTTTTTTTTTGACAGGCAGAGTGGACAGTGAGAGAGACAGAGAGAAAGGTCTTCCTTTGCCATTGGTTCACCCTCCAATGGCCGCCGCGGCCGGCGCGCTGCTGCCGGCGCACCGCGCTGATGGCAGGAGACAAGTGCTTTTCCTGGTCTCCCGTGGGGTGCAGGGCCCAAGCACCTGGGCCATCCTCCACTGCACTCCCTGGCCACAGCAGAGAGCTGGCCTGGAAGAGGGGCAACCGGGACAGAATCCGGCACCCCAACCGGGACTAGAACCCAGTGTGCTGGCGCTGCTAGGCGGAGGATTAGCCTAGTGAGCCGTGGCGCCGGCCTTTTTTTTTTTTTTTTTTTTTTGACAGGCAGCGTGGACAGTGAGAGAGAGAGAGACAGAGAGAAAGGTCTTCCTTTGCCATTGGTTCGCCCTCCAATGGCCACCGCGGCCGGCGCACCGCACTGATCCGAAGTCAGGAGCCAGGTGCTTCTCCTGGTCTCCCATGGGGTGCAGGGCCCAAGCACCTGGGCCATCCTCCACTGCACTCCCTGGCCACAGCAGAGAGCTGGCCTGGAAGAGGGGCAACCGGGACAGAATCCGGCGCCCCGACCGGGACTAGAACCCGGTGTGCCAGCGTTACAAGGCGGAGGATTAGCCTGTTGAGCCACGGCACCGGCCTGCAATGTACTCTTTAATCACATTAATACTGATTTAGAAATTTTTCATTAATTTTTAAGTATAAAGCCTGTTCTTATTCACACAATTTTTCCAAAATACAACACAAACCCCAGATTTCCCCCACCTTGCCATGTGGGCCCTCATCATTCAAAGACACTCAGCTGTTACAAAACATACCCCTTAGGGGCCAGCACTATGGCGTAGCGGGTAAGGCAGCCGCCTACAGTGCTGGCATCCCATATGGAGGCCAGTTCCAGTCCTGGCTGCTCCACTTCCAATCCTGCTCTCTGCTGTGGCCTGGGAAAGCAGAAGATGGCCCAAGTCCTTGGGCCCCTGCACCTGCATGGGAGACCCAGAGGAGGCTCCTGGCTCCTGGCTTCATGGATTGGTGCTCCGGCCGTTGTGGCCAACTGGGGAGTGAATCAGCAGATGGAAGACCTCTCTCTGCCTCTCATTCTCTGTGTAACTGTGACTTTCAAGTAAAATAAATAAATCTTAAAAAAAAAAAATCCTTAGACACTAAATCATACTTTATCACAAATCCCTAATTTTCCATAAAATTCTTCCTAGCCTAGAAAAAACATTCTGTTTTTATATTTCTGTTTCTTTTTTCTCTTCTGGGAACAGAATGAAATTTCTGTCAACGGAGACACATATGGTTTGGAGCTAAAGCCTTATCCTGTAACTCCTAGAACACCTCGCTCAATCTTAGAGCATGTTCCAGTCAGGGCCAGCACTGTGGCACAGTGGGCTAAGCCATCGCCTGCAATGCCAGCATCCTGAGTGGGTGCCAGTCTGATAACATCTGTTTCTTCACAAGAACTAAGATCCTCTCATGCAACCACGCTTCGCATTTCCCAACATACAGTGAATATGCAATAAACAGGAAGAGTTAATACCCTGGTTGGTCTTCACTATACGATCTTTTGTGGCTAACATATTGCATGGCTGAAAGCTAGAAGCTTTGGATTCAATCAGATCCGAGTTTCAATTCTGATTGCACCAATCACCATCTGTGTCACCTGAGTAAGTTACATATGTTCCCTCAGTTTAGTCTTTCATTGGCAGAACATAGTAAGATAAGGGTCCCTGGTGGAGGGGAAGGGCTATCAAGATTAACATAGGTAAATTCCCCAGAGAAGACACCCAGTGAGAGTGATTTTTTTCATTGTCTTTTTCATCACCATAGTTGGAATCCCTTCTTTTATATAATTTTAAACTAGCTTTTAATTTTATCTTTCATACTATTGCCTCAAATTCAGACAACTTTTTATTCTAACTTTACTAAAATAGTATAACATTTGATTATCAATGCCCAAAACAAAAACAAAAACCTTGCTTGCCAGTTGGCAAACACAGGAATAAGATATGACATATGCTTGTCATCTACAGATGTGAAAAGTATAGTCCTGGAAAAAATGTTTTTTCTCATTTAACTGTCACTTCAGGTGAATCTTAAATTGAGACTTGCAAAATTATTTAAATTGCCATTCATATTGTCTTAAATAGTACATTTACACTATATTCCCATAAGGGCTTCATTTAAACAAAAGCAAGGGGTTAAGTTCTGAGGTTACATTTAGGGAAACATTAAGTTACCCACATGCAGTTTTCATTTTGTCATTACAGTGCTAAATGATTACCTGTTAAAAGTCATGTAAACATAAAGGGAGGGCATTTAAATTTCTTGAAGTAGACTGAATATAGTGTGCCAAAACTAAGAAGCTAGATCAGTAATATGATTACGGGAACAGAATTAACAAGAACTGTACGTAAATTCTCTGAGGTGTGCCTGTCCATCCTGAAGTTATCCAAGAAGCTACAACTGAAGTTATATGCTGCCACAATGCTATGTAATTTTGGTTGCCAACTGGTAAGAATGACTCAGAAGAATGCTAGGATGCCATGAATATGAAGAATTATGAGATTGCATTAATCAATGACACTAATGTAATCAGAACTGGGCACATCTAGAAATTAAATAAAAGTTCAGTGCAAAGTAATGGAACATAAATAACTCAAATGGTTTGTAAAAAGGCTAAGAAAAATTATAAACATATCTGTTATAAATCTTACAAGAACTAAAGATACGGATTCGTTCTTCCATACATTTGGAAGGAATCACCTTCAGATAAATGGCCAAGGGCTAACATATTTGTATAAGCATAATTTTGCAAGGTAGTATTTTTGAAAACTAAACAGAAATTCCCTAGATCCAAAACAGATGTATTTAACATCTAGAGTCCTGTACTGACCACATCTTTCTTCAGAACCTTGAAGATTCAGCCACAAATACTCCATACCTCCTCAGCTTCTCCCGTTCTTCTCTCTCCCTTTCTTCTCTTCGTTTCAGGCGTTCTTGGTTTCTCTTCTCCTGCTTCTCAGCTACAACTCTCTTAAAAACAATAACAATACATGAAGAACATGCTTACTGGGTACATTTAAAATTAGCTTTAACTATAAGTTAACCATATCTGGTGTCCAATGTAATACAATTAACATCAAGACAGGTTTAGTAAGAATTCAACTTTTGCCAGGTACAATCATAGTTGACAAGTCTACTTCCCAAAATCCTTCCCCTTTCTCTACAAAATTTGTAATCTTTCCAACTTCTCTAGGATTCCTGTGTTTTTTTTTTTTTTAAAGAGCTACTTTTTATTTAGGCAGAGTTAGAGAGAGAGGAGGAACGACAGAGGTCTTCCATCAGCCAGTTCACTCTCCAAAAGCCCCTACAGCTGGGGGAAGACGAGGCTGAAGCCAGGAGCCCGGAGCATCTTCCAGGTTTCCCATGTGGGTACAGGGGCCCAAGCACTTGTTCCAATCTTCTGCCGTGTACACAGGCGCATTAGCAGGGAGCTGGATTGAAGTGGAGCAGCCAGGTCTCAAACTGGTGCCTGCATGGGATGCTGGTGTTGCAGGTAGACACTTAACCTGCCAGGCCACAACACTGGCCCCTTGCTCTGATTTCTTAGTGACATTTCAAAATCACTTCCACAAGATTTTCTCCTCTGAAGGGCTTCCAGGATTATTGTTAATTTTGAAAGAGAAAGAGAGAGAAAGAGAGAGAGAAATAGAGAGAAATAGAGAGAGAATGTCTGCCCTCTGATGGTCCCTCCCAATTGGCTGCATGGGCATAAGCTGGGCTAATACGAGCAGAGGGCAGGGGGGCTTCTTCGGGAAATCCCACCCTCCGGCCGGGGGTTCACATTGGGCGCCAGTTCAAGTCCTGGCTG